AATCTGAGGCGTAGGTTTGAAAAATCATTTGAATTCAACGCCTTGGATTTGATCTGCAATGGAGGGTTCAGACTGGCTGAGTTTCGATCTGATGGCCGGGGTTTATCCTGGACCTCTATAAAGGCTAAGAAAATCCCATTTTTTAGGACTTTTGAAAATTTGCAATTTGATTCTCTCTCAAAATCCTGAACTTTTCGGCATCAAGGCTGCCTGTTCTTTGATTTTTCGGCCTATCTCCGTTCGCGTAGTGTTCTTCCCTTAGGTATTATTCGCAGAAAAGCCCTTTTTGCCGTGTTAATTCTGTGAAATGGAGTCCACCTTGGGTAGGGAGTTGGTGACTGTTGCGTCATTGGATTATGGGGTCAGTCAGAGGGGAGATGCCGAGGCTGATAGTTATGCCATGACCGAGGACCCAGTAGATTATACTGAAGAGTGGGGGGCGTCTAGGGTGCCCTCAAGTATGACGTGGAAAAGGTTGGGGGAGATCAGGGAGAGATACAGTGTCCCCCACACCATAGAGATGCTAGTTCCCGTGCCAAACGAGCGGGCCTACGATCTGAGGTCTGGATGCGTGGTAGTCAGTGAATACCTGTTTAAGGCAGGTATGCGTCTTCCTCTGCACCCCTTCTTTAGGGCGGTGTTGAGGAATTTTATGTTGTCGCCGACCCAGGTTCTGCCAAGTGGGTGGAGCCAGTTGGTCGGCTCGTACTTCCTGTGGAAGGAGGTGTCACTTGGGGAGGACATGCCTCTCCATGTATTTATGACCCTTTTTCAGCCCCGGATCATAGGAAAGGAGTCTAGGGGGTGGTATTATCTTACACCTTGGGGGCTCACGCACCCTTTGTGGTGGGACTACCTTCCTCCATTAAGGGGTGGAAGGAGTCCTGGTTCTGGGTGTGGGAAAAATGGCAGGCAGTGGAGGGGGACAAGGCCCTTTCTTGCATAGTGCCAACCCAGTACTGCGAAGCTCGTGAGTCTCCCAACCCCTACTTGTACTTCTAAATTGAACACTTAGAAAATTTCTACCTGTTGGGACTTCCATTGCAGATTGTAGTACGAGGTTCAAGCTCAGCAGAGAAGAGTTCGAGGTGATAGAGGACATCTACAAGAGGCCTCTGAAGCTCCACCACTTTGACCATCTGATCGACAGGAGTCGCTACTTCCTGGATTTTGGACTGATGGCTTGCAGAGGTACGAGGCTCCCATAGTTGTAAATTTCCTTGTCCTTTTGATTGGATACTGATGTGCTGACCTGACGTGCTATGAAGATAAATTCAAGAGGAGGGAGTACCCAGCTTCGGACATGGCTTCTATTCTGAAGGCCACATCTACTGTTAAGGCGAGGTCCCTGAAGCCGGTGTCCAGTGGGGCCAAGAAGGTCCGAGGTAGGGTGGAATGCCTGTCCAAGGACAGCACCCCAAGGGCTTCGAAAGAGGGAACTCCTCAGAGGCAGGAGAAGCCTAAGGAGCCTCGGGGTAAGGAAAAAGTTCCTGAGGAGGCGAAGACGAGGAAGCTGGTGCACGTCACCAGCTTGTCGGGGAAATTTGGGATCTCAGTGTCCCACGAGGCTAAATCAACAAGCGAGCCGAAGCTGTTCGCATCCACCTCCAAAGCCATCAAAATAGAGATGGTTAGAAAGACCGAGGCTAAGGAGACCAGAGAGGAGGCTGCGAGGAGAGCTGCTGAGGCTGCTGAAGAGGATGCAGCAAAACAGAAGCTTGTTCGAGAGAAGGGGAAGTCTCCAAGCTTCCTAGCTGGAAGGGAGGAGACCTTGGCCCCAACCCTGGTAGAGGCTCTTCCCCAGGAGGTCCGAAGCGCCACGGAGAACTTTTACCGGTTCTGGACGGACAGGTGGCAACTGCATGCCTCTTTTTGCGATGCTACCGACCTGACGCAGGCGTTAGTGAGCCAAAGCATCAGAACTTTTGGCCTCGTTCTTGAATGCCGGGAGGCCCTGAGTAGGTTCTAGAAGCAGACGCGTTGGATCGGGTACGTGGGAGGCACGTTAGAATCTGAGGCGTAGGTTTGAAAAATCATTTGAATTCAACGCCTTGGATTTGATCTGCAATGGAGGGTTCAGACTGGCTGAGTTTCGATCTGATGGCCGGGGTTTATCCTGGACCTCTATAAAGGCTAAGAAAATCCCATTTTTTAGGACTTTTGAAAATTTGCAATTTGATTCTCTCTCAAAATCCTGAACTTTTCGGCATCAAGGCTGCCTGTTCTTTGATTTTTCGGCCTATCTCCGTTCGCGTAGTGTTCTTCCCTTAGGTATTATTCGCAGAAAAGCCCTTTTTGCCGTGTTAATTCTGTGAAATGGAGTCCACCTTGGGTAGGGAGTTGGTGACTGTTGCGTCATTGGATTATGGGGTCAGTCAGAGGGGAGATGCCGAGGCTGATAGTTATGCCATGACCGAGGACCCAGTAGATTATACTGAAGAGTGGGGGGCGTCTAGGGTGCCCTCAAGTATGACGTGGAAAAGGTTGGGGGAGATCAGGGAGAGATACAGTGTCCCCCACACCATAGAGATGCTAGTTCCCGTGCCAAACGAGCGGGCCTACGATCTGAGGTCTGGATGCGTGGTAGTCAGTGAATACCTGTTTAAGGCAGGTATGCGTCTTCCTCTGCACCCCTTCTTTAGGGCGGTGTTGAGGAATTTTATGTTGTCGCCGACCCAGGTTCTGCCAAGTGGGTGGAGCCAGTTGGTCGGCTCGTACTTCCTGTGGAAGGAGGTGTCACTTGGGGAGGACATGCCTCTCCATGTATTTATGACCCTTTTTCAGCCCCGGATCATAGGAAAGGAGTCTAGGGGGTGGTATTATCTTACACCTTGGGGGCTCACGCACCCTTTGTGGTGGGACTACCTTCCTCCATTAAGGGGTGGAAGGAGTCCTGGTTCTGGGTGTGGGAAAAATGGCAGGCAGTGGAGGGGGACAAGGCCCTTTCTTGCATAGTGCCAACCCAGTACTGCGAAGCTCGTGAGTCTCCCAACCCCTACTTGTACTTCTAAATTGAACACTTAGAAAATTTCTACCTGTTGGGACTTCCATTGCAGATTGTAGTACGAGGTTCAAGCTCAGCAGAGAAGAGTTCGAGGTGATAGAGGACATCTACAAGAGGCCTCTGAAGCTCCACCACTTTGACCATCTGATCGACAGGAGTCGCTACTTCCTGGATTTTGGACTGATGGCTTGCAGAGGTACGAGGCTCCCATAGTTGTAAATTTCCTTGTCCTTTTGATTGGATACTGATGTGCTGACCTGACGTGCTTATGCAGATAAATTCAAGAGAAGGGAGTACCCAGCTCTAGACATGGCTACAATTCTGAAGGCCACCACCACCGTCAAGGCTAGGGCCCTGAAGCCGGGGTCTGGTGGGGCCAAGGAGGTCCGAGGCAGGGTGGAACGCCTTTCCAAGAATAGTACTCCAAAGGCTTCTGAAAGAGGGAGCTTCCCAGACGCAGGAGAGGCCAAAAGAGCCTCGGGGGAAAGAGAAAGTCCCAGAGGAGGCGAAGAGGAGGAAGCTGGTGCACGTTACCAGCTCGTCCAGGAAATTTGGGACATCAGTATCCCACGAGGCCAAATCAACAGGCGAGCCAAAGCTGCTCACATCCGCCTCCAAAGCCATCAAGTTAGAAATGGTCGGAGAGGCTGAGACTGAGGCTGAGGAGGCCAAAGAGGAGGCTGCAAGGAGGGCTGCTGAGGCTGCCGAGAAGGAGGCAGCTAAATAGAAGTCTGTTCGGGAAAAGGGGAAGTCTCCAAGCTTCCTAGCTGGAAGGGAGGAGACCTTGGCCCCAGCCTTGGTGGAGGCTTTTCCCCAGGAGGTCCGGAGCGCCACAGAGATTTTTTACCGATTTTGGACGGACAGATGGCAGCTGCATGCCTCCTCCTGCAATGCCACCGACCTGACGAGGGCTTTGGTGAGCCAAAGCGTCAGAACTTTTGGCCTTGCTCTTGAATGTAAGGAGGCCCTGAGTGATTTTCAGACAAGGACCCAGTCTTTGAAGGAGAAGACAGCCTCCCTTGCAGAGGAGTTGAAGGCGGCTAGGGCCGAGGCGGAAGAAGCCAGGGCCCAAAAACTTGAAGAAATGGCCAAGCTGGAGTCTGCTTTGGCCCAGATTGAGGCCTTGAAGAAGGAAGTCCATGAGTGACAGTGCGAGCTGGCCTCCCTTACAAAGAAGGTGGAGGTCTCCAATGAGCACCAGAAAGTGACCGCCGAGGCCCTGGAGAAGGCAAATCTCTCTTTGATGGGTGCCCAAGAAGCTTACCATTTCTTGGAAACCCAAATCAAGTGGTATGTGGATGATGCATCCCATGCCAGAAAGGAGGCTCAACAGGCGAGGGAAGAGTCGGTGCTGGAGTACATTGTCAACTTCCATAACACAGAGGAGTATAAGAGATTTAGTGCTTACTGGAGAAACTTTGCCTATACTGAGGTGATGGAGCGGGCAGAGAAACTGTATCCCAATTTGGATCTGACTCAACTCAGGTCTGAATTCGTGGATGAGGTACCTTAGACCCCTGCTGAGGAAGTGCAGGGTAATGAAGTAGCTGAGGTAGGGGAGACAAATGCTGATGCTCAAGCTGCCGAAACCCCAAGTACAGAAGCACCTCCTCCATCTACCCAAGCTTAGATTAGTTTTCTTTTCAATTTTTTCGAATGTAATGGCCTGAGGCCCACTTTTGTAATCCTTATTGAAGATCAATATAATGCCTATTTTATTCATTGTTGTTTCTTTGATAAAGTGTACGCGCCTTGTTAAGCAAATGAACTTAAAGGTTGACAGAAGCACCAACTAAATAACTCTAACTTGGTACCTTAACTTCAATTACTTTAAACAACTAGATTGAACGACTATACGAACCTCGGACTTAAGCAAATGAACTTAAAGGTTGACAGAAGCACCAACTAAATAACTCTAACTTGGTACCTTAACTTCAATTACTTTAAACAACTAGATTGAACGACTATACGAACCTCGGACTTAAGCAAATGAACTTTACTTAAGCATAATAACTGTATGAGCCTTGGACTTAAGCGAATGAACAACTGAACGAGCCTTGGTCTTAAGCGAATGAACACGAATGAACTGAATGAGCCTCGGAATTAAGCGAATAAACAACTGAATGAGCCTCGGATTTAAGTGAATGAACACTGTATGAGCCTCGAACTTAAGTGAATGAACACGAATGAACTGAATGAGCCTTGGAAGTAAGCGAATAAACAACTGAATGAGCCTCGAATTTAAGCGAATGAACACTGAATAAGCCTCGGACTTAAGTGAGCCTCAATTGCACGTGAGGTGGATTCTTTCCTTGGCGTTTTGTCTGGCCAAAGGAAGGCATGTGCTAGCACCTCGGAGTTCAAGCGAGGTGGCCCAGAGGTAGGACATGAGCCTCTCCTCTGAGGTGACGACGCATCCCAGATATGGTGGATGGTGCAGCTATGTTGAGGCTTCTCCCCTTGGCATTTTGTCTGGCCAAAGGGAGGCATGTGCTAGAGCCTCGGAGTTCAAGCGAGGTGGTCGAGAAGTGGGAAGCAAGCCTCTTCTCCGAGGTGACGATGCATCCTAGACATGGTGGATGGTGCAGCCATGTTGAGGCTTCTCCCCTTGGCGTTTTGTCTGGCCAAAGGGAGACATGTGCTAGCGCCTCGGAGTTCAAGCGAGGTGGCCCAGAGGTGGGACGTGAGCCTCTCCTCCGAGGTGACGACGCATCCAGACATGGTGGATGGTGCAGCCATATTGAGGCTTCTCCCCTTGGCGTTTTGTCTGGCCAAAGGGAGGCATGTGCTAGCGCCTCGGAGTTCAAGCGAGGTGGCCCAGAGGTGGGACGCAAGCCTCTCCTCCCGAGGTTTCGAGGTAGTACAACACGTTAATTTAATCACTGAATTTTATTGAACCATAGAAATGTTACAAAGGCTGGGAAAGGTCGTCCAACAAGATAGTACATTTATTGGTAATAGATTCTGAGGTGTTCAATGTTCCATTGACGGGGTTGTGCCTTGCCGTTCATGTCTTCAATTCAGTAAGTCCCAAGTCGAACTTCTTCTCTGATTTTGTATGGACCTTCCCAGTTTGGGCCTAGGGAACCGGAACCGGAACCAGGTTCTTTTGAGGACAGGAAGACCCTCCTGAGTACAAGGTCGTTGATCGGAATGACCTCTTCTTGACTTTCGAGTTGAAGTACCTTGTCATCTTTCTCTGATATGTACCGAGTTTCAATTGGGAATCATCTCTTCTTTCTTCGATGAAGTTGAGGTCGAGCCTTCGAAGCTCATCGTCAGTTATCTCGCTGAAGTGTAGACATCTTGGGGATGGAAGTCCGACCTCCATGGGGCTCATTGCCTCAGTTCCAAATGCCATGAGGAAGGGCGTTTCTCCTGTTGGGGTCCTGGTGGTGGTTCGGATCGCCCAAAGGACTTGGGGTAGCTCATCAACCCAGGCCCCTTTTGATACATCAAGCTTCCTTTTCAAGATGTGCTTGATCGTCTTATTCACAGCCTCAACTTGGCCATTTACTTACGGGTGGTGAGGTGTGGAGAAGTGCTTTTTTATGCCGAGCTCTTCGCATAATTCTCTAACCTTCTTGTTGTCAAACTGTCTGCCATTGTCTGAGATAATTGAGTGAGGAATTCCGAACCGGCAAATAATATCTTTCCATAAGAACTTGAAGGTGTTGGCTTCAGTGATTTTTGCCAGTGGTTCGGCTTCGACCCACTTCGTGTAGTAATTAATAGCCACAATTGCAAAACTTGCCCCTCCTCTACCCTTAGGTAGGGGACCTATGAGGTCCACACCCCATTTTGAGAAAGGCCAAGGGCTCGAGATGGTGGTCAACTCCTACGATGATTGTCTCTGCACCGGAGAGAAGCGCTGGTATTTATCGCATTTTCGTACAAACTCGAGGGCGTCCCGCTTTAGTGTAGGCCAGTAGTACCCCTACCTCAATAATTTTTGTGCTAGAGATAGACCTCCGGAGTGGTTGCCGCACATGCCCTCGTGGACTTCCCTCAATATGTGGGTAGCCTCTTCTCCTCCGATGCACCGTAGGAGTGGAGAGGAGAAGCTCCTCTTGTAGAGAATGTCATCAATGAAGAGGAAGTGAGCTGACCTCCTTCTTAGCTTGTAAGCCTCATTTTTGTTAGTTGGCAGTACTTGGTCTTTGAGGTATGCTATGATTGACTGCATCCAAGTGGGAGTCCCAGCGATCCACATTATAGTTGGGGCCTCGATCGAAGGTAGGAGGAGGTGCTCAATAGGTACTACTGTGAGTAGCTCTGAGTCCTTGCTGCTAGCCAACTTCGAGAGTGCATCTGTATGTGCATTTTCGATGCGGGGGATCTAGATCAACTCAAACTTTTCGAAGGATGGGATGAGGTTCATCACCATTTTTAGATAGGAGGCCATCGTTTTGTCTTTGGCTGAGAAGTTACCATTGACCTGGCTAAAAACCAGCTGGGAGTCATTACTAATGAGTAGCCTCTTTACTTGCATTTCGGTGGCCAGCCTGAGGCCCGCAAGAAGTGCCTCATATTCTGTTACGTTATTGGTAGCTTTGAATCCGAACCTCACCGCCGAGGTGAGTTTCGGACCTTCGGGGCTGATGAGGACAACCCCAGCGCCAGAGCCAACATCCCCAGCTGACCTATCAATGAAAAGATTCCACGTGGGGGTTCGGCAGGTTCCATGATTTCATCCACCTCGGGTAGGTTGGCGAATTCAGCCACAAAGTCAGCTAAGGCTTGCCCTTTTATGGCTGCCCTAGCCTTGAACACATGGTCAAATTCACTGAGTTCCACCGCCCATTTCAATAACCTTCATGAGGCGTCGGGCTTTTGGAGTACCTGCCTCAGGGGAAAATTTGTCAGTATATGGATGGTGTGTGCTCGGAAGTAGGGTCTCAATTTCCTAGAGGCTATGATCAAAGCCAAAGCGAGCTTCTCCATATTGGGATAACGGGTTTTCGGTGATAGGAGCGCTTTACTTGTGTAGCATACAGGGAGTTGGGTGGACCTTTCTTCCCATATCAGAACCGAACTGATGGCCTCATTGTAGATGGCCAAATATAGTTGTAGGATATCACCGGGCTTTGGTTTGAAGAGGAGGGGGCTTGCCCCAAGTGCCTTTTCAAGCATTGGAAGGTCTCTTCACATTCCTCAGTCCACTAAAATTTCTTCCCAGTCTTCAGTACTTTGAAAAAGGGGAGGCATTTGTCCGTAGCTTTGGACACGAAGCGGCTTAGTGCGGCCACTCGCCCGGTAAGACTTTGCACCTCCTTTGGCTTTTGGGAGGACCTCATCTTGCATAGAGCTTCAATCTTCTCGGGATTGGCATCAATTCCTTGTTGGTTGACCATGTACCCCAAGAACTTGCCGGAGGCTATCCCAAAGGCGCACTTGAGGGGGTTGAGCCTCATCCTATATCTTCTTAGGATTTGGAAAGTGCTGTTGAGGTGCGTTATGTAGTCCTCAGCCTCCAAACTTTTTACTAGCATGTCGTCCACATAGACCTCCATTGTTTTGCCAATGAGGTCTACAAACATCTTGTTTACGAGCCTTTGGTAGGTTGCTCCGGGTTTTTTAACCCGAAGGGCATCATTCTATAACAATAGAGGCCTCGGTCCGTAATGAAAGAGGTGTGCTCTTCATCGATCGGGTGCATGGGGATTTGGTTGTAGCCAAAGTATGCGTCCATGAAACTCAACAACTCGTGCCCAGCCGTGGAGTCTACTAGTTGGTCAATCCTTGGGAGTGGAAAACTGTCTTTCGGGCAAGCTCTATTGAGGTTGGTGAAGTCAATGCACACCCTCCACTTGCCGTTGTTTTTCTTTCCCAAAATCGGGTTGGAGACCCATCTAGGGTAGGTTGCCTCTCGGATGAAGTCATTTTGGATGAGCTTCTGAACTTCTTCCTTTAGGGCCTCATACCTCTCAGGATTGAGGGCTCTCTTTTTTTGTCTATGCGGGGCAAACGTAGGATCGATTTTCAGGTGATGGCAGCTGACCTTAGGGTCTATGCCTACCATGTCCTCATGCTTCGAGGCAAAGACATCAAGGTTCTTGCTCAAGAAATCCTTAATCTTTTCCTTTAGAGTGTTGGATAGGCATTTGCCTACCTTCAGCATCTTTGATGGGTCTCGGGTGTCCATCGAGAAGCTCTCAAGTTCCTCCACCGGGGACGCTTAAGGGTCGTGTTCCATGATGCGGGGGTCAATCTCATCGATGACCAGCACCTCCGAATTAGGTGGTGCATCGATCATATCAATATCTTCTTGTTCGAGGGAACATCACCTAGGACGTCAGCCATGACCACGTTAGCTATGATTACATGGACGTCCCGGGGCTCTACCTTCTTGATGGAGCTCAGATAGCATTCTCTCGAACCTCTTTGGTTGCCTCTTATCGTTGCCACCCCATTTTCTGTCGAAAATTTTATGCATAGGTGGTGGATGGAGGTGACTGCTCCCAGTTCCTTTAGGGCTGGTCTGCCCAACACTCCATGGTAAGCCGACCAGCTATCGACAATGAGGAACTCCATCTCCACTGCAAGTGTTATCTTTCCACTCGGAGTGATGATATCCTCGGTAAATCCATACAATGGAGTGGTAGTGGGCGTCAGCTGATGATCCAATATCATCTTGTCAAAGGCGGATCCAAATAAAATGTTGATGGAGCTGCCATTGTCAACTAACATTCGTTTGAGCCCATTCCGGGCTATGACAGCCTTCAACACAAGTGCATCGCAATGAGGGTAATGAACTCCCTCGGCGTCTTCCTGGGTGAAGACAATGGGTGGAACCTGGTTTCTTCGGGAGCTATTACCCACAATGTAGCTTGTCAAAGGGGGTTGTTTAGCCTCCCGAGCATAATTTCTTTTGGCGTTTCGTGTTTCACCGCCAACATAGGGGCCTCCAAATATGGTATCCACCTCGTGGATAGGGGCTTCATCTTGAGCCTGCTGATTTCTTCGGTGCCTACGCCCTTCCCTAGGCCTCTCTGCATCATGCTCCCTTCGTTGTGGGGATACATCTCTTTGACGGGGAGCGACCTCCTCATGCCCACGTCGATTATCGTGCCTGGGCGGAGGCCTGTTCGCCTAGGGTGAATCATGTCTATCTCTAATGGGTTCCTGTCGGGAGCGTTGTGTATGGTCTCTGCAATCCATTGTGTCATGCCCGTAGGACCTGTGGTACACACAGTATCCTGGGAGGTTCGGATTTGACCTATTTCTAGGTCTTGAACCTCGGCCTCGGCCTCTCCCCCGACGGGGTCCTTGCTAGCCCTCTATCTGATGAGGGTCAGTAATCGGGTTGACATCTTCATATGCCTAGGTAGAAACCGCATTCAAAGTGGTGGTGGCAAGTGCTTGACCAGAGTTCTCATTTCCGGCTTGGTTCATTTGGTAGCCCATCAGGTGGGAGGTCGGGCCTCTACCACGTTGTCTTTGAGAAGGTGGGAGGCCTCTACTTGCCCTATTTCTATGCTCAATCAATTCTTCATTAATGATCTCCCTTCTCATCATTTCGAGTAGGGCGTCATTATTGGTGGGGTCTTGATTCTGCACGTCCCTCCAGAATAAGGTATTCATGTTCAGACCTCCCCTCAATGCGGATAGTGCCTCTCGGTTAGTGACTTGTACGCAGTACGTCATCTCATCGGTGAAGCATGATAAGAAGCCCTTTAGGGACTCTCCATGCGCTTGTCTCATGTCCTGGAGACGTTGGATGGGGGTCTCTCCTTCTTTGCTCACTGCGAACCTTTTCAGGAATGTTGTCTTGAACTCGGGCCAGCTTCTAATACTCCTGGGTGGCAATCTGCTATACCAAATTTCAGCCGCTCCACTAAGCGTTAGATGGAAGGCTCTGCACTTCACGGCTGGGGTGGCGCCCCTTAGGCCCATGTGAGTTTTATAAGCATTCAGGTGCTTCTCCGGGTCGCCTCTCCCATCATATTTTGGTATTTTTGGCATAACATAATGGTTTGGGACCTGGGCATTCCTTAGTTCCCTTGAGAATGGTAGATTCTCATCATCATCGTCCAAGTCGAAGGACCTCTGCTGTTCATCAGATTCGTACTCATCACCCTCGTACCTGGCTGTTGGTGAGAGGTTCCACGGCGGTCCCTAGCTTCTTCCTCCCTCCTCTACTGCCTATTTCTAGGTGGAGCAACACGGGGGCATTTTCATGCCTTCTCTCCGGCTGTTGGGGCATTGGAGGTGGAGGAGATGGCCTTGTCCAAGGCTGTTGAGCCTGCTGTTGCCTGAGCCTCGGCTCAGTGGGGCTGATTCTGTTAAAAACACTTCTTGCCCTCCTATGTCTCGGATCTTGCTCATAAGGAGGTGGAAAATTATCATGGCTCATTTGAACCTCGGTGGGTCGACCAGAAGCGTAGTTGGAGGAAACATCAACTTCCACTTCCCTTTCAAATGGGCTTTCACCTCGGCCATAGTCTGGCGAGGCAGCTCTATAACTTTGAACTTCATCCTCTTGCTGGTAGTACCATTGGGAGGTATATGGAAGAATGAGGAAGCCTCCCTGGCCCTACATTTGGGCCATAAGTTCCCTTATAGCCAAATTTTGGCTAGCAATATTCCTCATGTTGGCTGCCATAGCGGCCATTTCTCTTGATAATCGTGCCGTCACACGCATCCCACCTCTTCTTTGGTGGTTGTGGAGTCTCTGCCGAACTGCTGGGGCAATGGGCTAAGGAGGCACGTTCGTGTTTTCTCTTGCCCTCCTGGGGGAGTATCTTCATTGGAGCTCATTTTCTTTTGTCAGATTTCAGATTTCGCTAAGTAATGGGGCTTCCTCCTGTTCTTTTCCAAGAACAAATCCTTTTTCAAGGGGGGTTGCCCAAATGTCCTTTCAGTAAACTTTTGCCACAAGGTTGCTCGTGGTTATGGTATGGTTTTCCACAGACGGCGCCAATCTGTTGACCCCAAAAAGTGTTGTCAACAGATGTCGGTCCCACCCGTACACACGTGGACAAAGGTCCAACACGCTAAGATACGTGGACGGTCTAAAACGGGCGGTTCAAAGGGCGTGGGAGTAGCCCAATGACGCGGGACGGTGACGTTCGAAATCTGGTGGTTGTTCGTGATCCGATTGTACAATAATTACCAACCGGTGTTCGTAAATGTATATGTAAATGTATATAAACTCGATTTGTGTATTGCAAGTAAATGAGAGAGAGAGTTGAGTAAAGTGTAGTTCTTTGTATTGATTCTTGCATTAGCCCTTTGATGTTACACAAGAGAATTATTTATAGTGATACATGCGAAATGGGAGCCCTCGGATGAGGTGGCACGTGGTTTCATCTCTTTGATTCAAACATCTTATCCTAGGTAGGGGTCTTGACTTGCTAGCTTGCTGCGTATTTATTGTTTGTGTAGAGCCTCCATGCTAGTGACAAAACTTGACCTTTATGCTTATGACAGACGTTCCATGAATCATTCAAACAAGATCTTTGTGTAGACGATCTCTTGGGAGAAGTGACCATGAATGATGCTCCCATGAGGTTCGGAGGCTCCTGCATCAGCTTCGGGGCTTTGGCCATTTCATACAATACTTCCACTTGAGGGTTTCAGATAACTTCTACCAGCTTCAGCATTATGGCTTCGGCTCGTAGGCCTCAGCATGTGGACCTCAATTACTCTCACAGGCCTCGGTAAAGGGGGCATGCATCGGCTAGTGGGCTTCGACGTGAAGGGCTTCCGTCATAGCCCACCCCGGCAATATATGCCACCTCGGCTGGAGTGTCACGTGGTTCGGCCTGAGTGGGCCATTGGCCCAGGTAGGTTGGCCAAGTATGACAACACGCAATAATGACTATATCTTGTAAATAGTACAAGTAGTGTATAGTACTCTTTGTAGAACATCATCTATATGAGTACGAACTTCGCCAGTTCTATGAGATTTTTACTTAGGCAAATTCTCTAACATACTTGCAGAACGAAAAAGGTTCAGGGTTAAAATAATGAACACAATAGAGAACCAAAGTTTGATATGATATATAATGCGTTTGATTTAAAGGTTCAGGGTTAAAATAATGAACACAATAGAGAACCAAAGTTTGATATGATATATAATGCGTTTGATTTATTGTCTAAGCTTACAATAATGGTTGATAGTTCAAAACACCACGTTGACTGATTAGCCAAGTAAGATTGATAGATTAAAACTAGGGATGGTTCAAAGCGAAAGCTATTGATCTGCATTGTATTTCGGTTGTACTCTTCTTCATCTTCCTTGTTCTGAGTTGACTTCTTCTATTCATATTGGGGATTGTTGAAATTTTAGGATAATATAAGGATTAAAATATGTGAATTGAAAAAGTCTCTAATATGTGGGTCAATTGGGCACGACCTTTCAAATGCAAATGGCGCATATCAAAAAGTTGTTTCGAATGGGCGTGACCTTTTGATAAGGTGATAGCTAGGCCATCAATTTGAAATGGTGTGATCTAATGGTTGGAATTAATTTGGCCATAAGATACAACCCTTCGAAGAGACACATGCAAATCTATAAATAGGATATTCCAAATTCTATTTTAGTCACTGCAAATCAATTTCACATAATTGATTTCTATTTCTTTTCTTCTCCAATTTGTGTCAAAATAACTTTCAAATTATTTTTGAGTTTCATGTTAGATATCTTCCATTCTAGAAGATTATAGTCAACCCGTTGGTTTGTCCAACAAAATTAATATTGTGCCATATTAATTTTGGAAGAATCGTTGTATCTTAGGAAACGAACGCCTATTTGACCCTGTAAACATCCATGTAGAGGCGCAAAATCCTTCTTAAGGATATTTGCATTCGCATACCTCATTTCATTTCACCTGTTTACTTTTGCGTTTTCTACGCTTCAGTTAAGTAGTGATTTTTTCATTATTATGCACGTGTTTAGTTTCGGTAAATTGTTACTTTATTCATATTTGCATGCACATGTTTTTGTTAATAGAATATAATTCATGCACTAATTTTTTCAATACAAAGTTTGTATATCTCTCTAAACTAGTCAACACCTACAACCGTTCTACTTCAAAGATGAATATGAAGCCAACATCAAAATTTATTTTCATTCTATTGTAACAAGAGTGGGATATAGATTACAATACCTAATACTCCCTAACCCTTCACCCACATTATGATAATTCCACAAACAAATATGAAAAAAATCATATCTCTGACAAGTAGGTGGATCGCACCACACAAAAAATGACAACTATTCTAGTTGTCCCTAACAAGAAAGGAAGTGTTTTCCAAAGTTGAGATCTATCCATAAAGTCTTCATCTCCAAGGGTAGCCGACAATGGCAAATATTGGATTCATTTTTTCTTAATGAAAAAACCTAAGATTCTGAATTGTTATTGTATTCTATCCTATCAATTATCCCTATATTAAATATATTAGCGGGTGATTTCTGGGTTTACAAAGTCCTTTAACGAATTTACCCTTTCAAATAAAGAGAAGATAAGGGACTTGCATCCAACAAACAAAATTAACGGTCATTTTGGATGTAATCCATACAAAAGGACTATTTATGCCAAAATACAAAACTTGGACCATCTATGCCAAGTTTGAAAGGTTTTGGTAATAAATGCTTTAAGGCTAAATGTTTGGGAACATTTTAACCAATTTCCCTTCTCATCTTTATTCTTTAACTTTTTATTAATTAGCAAGTTTTTTCTTAAATCTTAGGGTTTGTTTGAGTCACGTTATTTTAAAAAAAATACATTTTTCAACAGTGATTTGATATCATTTCAACCACACATTCTTTAATAAAATCATATTACATGCAAATCTAAAACTTTTCTTTATTTTTTAACCATACATTTCTTATTGATTTGATATGAATAATGCATTTTTTTTTTATAATGTGGCTCTGGGCTTAATAATGATTTACGTTCCAAAAGTCTGTTATTTACTTTAAAACAAGTGATAAATATTTAATTATAATTTTGTATTTATTTATTTATTTATTTTTGCTTATTTAAACATACAAGGGAAAAATAAGACTTTTGTTCCTTCTTAACGGATTTTTTGGTCTCAAATTGTTCATGATATGATAATTAATGAAAAATTATAGATTAAAAATGCATTTAAAAAAATTAATGACATCTGAGTAAAAATTATAAACTTTTTATACAATTATAAAATGTGGTATATAAGGAAAAAATGTTACAAATATTAGCCACTATTTGAGCTTTATTACAATTAAATTAAAAAAAAGTATTTTTTAATAGCGATTTTTTGAAAAATACGTTATTAAAGAGAGTGAAAAATTTTGAATTTACGTATAATATTATTTTATTAAAAAAATTGTGATGAAAAATATAAGAAAGAGAATTATATTATCAAATTAACGGAGGTGAAACAAGGCAATGTAGAGGGGCGGCGCGTATAATTCCCCAAATTCATATGTGCATTTATTCTTGACCTTTCTTTTCAATAGATTGAGAAATCCCTAAGATTTCTGCCAACTGGAATTTTTTTGTTGTGTCTCACAAGAATAATTTCTAGGGTTCTTCGAGTTTGAAGATGGAGAGCGAAAGGAAATTGATATACCATGAGACGCAAAAATTACAATTTTGCTTGTTGCACTCTCTCAACAATCTCTTCCAGGTGAACTTAATTGAACTGATTGTTCCTTTCTAATTATGTAGCATTTTTATGTGTACATTGATAGAGATTAGTTCCCCCTACTTGTAGAATAAGTATATACAATAATCATCTGTTTTGTTTTTCATTTTTTTTTCTTTTTGAAATTATTCATGTGGAAGGTGGTGGAGAGATAGACTGTAATGACCTTAATTATAGCTAAGTCAAGGTTTAGTTTGTGGTTTATTCCAGTTGGACACCTTTTCATTCAGGCCGGCTTGAAGAGTTACTTCTGCCTTTATTACAAATTACAATAGCGCGCTTTTTGGCTCCCTTTATTTGGTATTATATAATTTTTGGAATAGTATTTTTTAGGAGAATATTTTTTTTTTTGAAAAAGAAGGATTTTTTTTATTTATTTATTTGTAATATTATTGTACAAAAGACTGTGTGGATGGAAATAATATATAGAAAAAATATAACGTGAAATAATGGGGACCAAACAGGAGCTAGGTATAAGAGGATATACCCTTTTGGCGATGACCCTCGATGCATACGAGGAGTATTAGAGAGCTGGAAATATGGAGATATGGATCACTCTGGATGTCGGTTTTGAAAAGAAGGTGGAACATAGCGACCCAATCGTGTCCCATGTCGTTAAGTGAAGACTTAGTTTGTACTTTTGCTGTTTATAACTAGTAGGACACCCTTCTTTTACAAGTCGGTTTTAAGAGTGAGTTTTAGCCCTTGGATTGTTACAAAATATTGATAATCTTGCAGAGCAAAGATTAAATTTTAGCTTTTCTGAACCTAATTAACAGGAGAATGATTTGAGGATTTTCTGTCTATGTATTTTCATATCTTGTTGAAGTTTGGACTCGCATGTAATTACTCATGATTTTGTAAAGTATTTGATCAATTCCTTATTATAATTCAGGAGAAAGATGCATTTACTCGAGCAAATTTGAATGCCATTGCTGAAAAACTGACCTTCGGTGACCCAAACAAGGCAACCTGGACTCCTTTGTCTGTGATCTTTAAGCCTCATCATAATTCTCTAACAGGAAATTATGATATTAATGTATTAATTGCCGCTCTTGAAGAAAGAGGGAAAAGAGTAATGTGGCATGATCGCCGAAATGGGACATCTTCAATTGATCTAGATGGGTTGAGAAATGAATTGTTCGGTATTATAGTTAATGTTCCAGTAAGAAGGTATGCTGGCCTATGGAAAAGTAGGCATTGGGTTGCATTGAGAAGGATTGAAGGAGTCTGGTACAATTTGGATAGTGATTTTCCTACTCCTTATTGTTTTAAAAATACTGAAGAAATTAGGGAGTTCTTGGACAGTGTAATGTCCACTGGAGCTGAGGTTTTGCTTATCATGAATGATAAAGAATAAGTTTCATTTTACTTTTATTTTTATGCCACAAGTGTAACTTTAACCTGCATTTTGTACTAGCCAGTGTGATTGAACTGTAGAATTATGAGAAATGTTGTGTGAATATAATTTTTCATAGAATTTAGGGCATATTGTCTTCTAATATATCAATGTGGACATGATGCAACTTGAAAGATTTTCATAAAGCACTTCTCTTTGTAGTATTATCATATTCCAAAATGACTAAATATTGTGTTTATGGTCTTCCTCCTTGCCATCTTACATAGAATTGCATGAGTAGACCCAGACTCTTGGTCGTCGACTTTATACTGAAAACCTTCTCTGCAAGTCTTCCTTGTTAGGCTGTGTATTTCATTGAACCATTTGATGAATGTATCCATGTTCCACACTTCATTTGATTACTGTAGCCATTCACCAGTTACCACTGTGTGACTTTTTTGGCAATGTTTTAGTGGAATCTAGTATTTCTTTGAACAGCATAATCATTCATGGACACAATGAAGAATTCAATTTGCTGAGTGCAGTTTCTTTGAGGTCAATGGCGGCATTTCTTCCTAGTGCATTGCATCAGCTATAAGCGTAAGAAAGATATGCTTCATCAAATATATGTGGATTTATCTAGTTTTTCATGATAGGAAAGTTCTCTGAGTTTTGTACTTTCTGCATGGTATTTGTAGTTAGGTTGTTTGTGCTTTTAAGCTCTCGCATCCTTTTTTTTTTTTTTACCTAATCTCTATTTTCAACTTCATCACTATTCTGATTTATCTGGATTTAAACACCAAGAAGAATACTGTTACCATTTTGGCCTTCCGTCTAATATAATCTTTGGGAAGTATATAACATTATATTCTTGGCTGCTTTTATTCTACCGAACTTAAGTTCAAAGCTAAATTTAATAACTTTGTAAACTCGTTATGAAAATGACATTTTAATAGAAGAATTGGTTTTGGAAGATGATAGAGCTTTCCGACATGAAAATCAGACCCATTTAGCATCAGATCCAAACAAAGAAACTCTTTTATGCATTTATGTGGTCTTTGAATTCTCTATGCTATGAAATACCTCAAATTGTTATAAGATGTTGAAAACATGAGGCATTTCATCCATCCACTCTCATATCTTCTTAACAATTCTCTTTACCTTTGTTGTGATATCCCGTAAAGTGATATTATTAGGGAAAGAGTGGTTATCTTGTTATATGTTATTCTGTCTTGGAATCTGCCTCATACGTGAAGAGATACCTGTCTCTTTCTTGCATACGGTGAGCTTATGCAAAACACTTCCGTTCAAATTCTCTTTAATCATCTGTATTTCATGTATTCGAGGAGTAAATGGAATTCTTATGAGGCTGAAACTATGATCGTTTATATACAGTTTCAGTGTCACGTCCGTGTACTTGACTACTTAACTTTCTGTTATGTATCACTGTGGCACTTGGAGAAATAATCTACCTAGCGATGTATGTAATGAAATTATATTTGTTCATACTAATTATAAAGTATAACCATCGCGATACAGAGTGTTGGACTTTGCACCACGTGTGAACCAGTTAGTGCGTTCATAGTGGGCTGATTGAATCTGGTGACCATATATGAAGTCTTATAGAATGAAATTTGAGTAGTCTCTCACAACTTTTATCCCAATTAGAATGTTGTCCAAAAACCCCAATAGTCCAGAATTTTACACTACATCGTGTCCCATGTCGTTAAGTGAAGACTTAGTTTGTACTTTTGCTGTTTATAACTAGTAGGACACCCTTCTTTTACAAGTCGGTTTTAAGAGTGAGTTTTAGCCCTTGGATTGTTACAAAATATTGATAATCTTGCAGAGCAAAGATTAAATTTTAGCTTTTCTGAACCTAATTAACAGGAGAATGATTTGAGGATTTTCTGTCTATGTATTTTCATATCTTGTTGAAGTTTGGACTCGCATGTAATTACTCATGATTTTGTAAAGTATTTGATCAATTCCTTATTATAATTCAGGAGAAAGATGCATTTACTCGAGCAAATTTGAATGCCATTGCTGAAAAACTGACCTTCGGTGACCCAAACAAGGCAACCTGGACTCCTTTGTCTGTGATCTTTAAGCCTCATCATAATTCTCTAACAGGAAATTATGATATTAATGTATTAATTGCCGCTCTTGAAGAAAGAGGGAAAAGAGTAATGTGGCATGATCGCCGAAATGGGACATCTTCAATTGATCTAGATGGGTTGAGAAATGAATTGTTCGGTATTATAGTTAATGTTCCAGTAAGAAGGTATGCTGGCCTATGGAAAAGTAGGCATTGGGTTGCATTGAGAAGGATTGAAGGAGTCTGGTACAATTTGGATAGTGATTTTCCTACTCCTTATTGTTTTAAAAATACTGAAGAAATTAGGGAGTTCTTGGACAGTGTAATGTCCACTGGAGCTGAGGTTTTGCTTATCATGAATGATAAAGAATAAGTTTCATTTTACTTTTATTTTTATGCCACAAGTGTAACTTTAACCTGCATTTTGTACTAGCCAGTGTGATTGAACTGTAGAATTATGAGAAATGTTGTGTGAATATAATTTTTCATAGAATTTAGGGCATATTGTCTTCTAATATATCAATGTGGACATGATGCAACTTGAAAGATTTTCATAAAGCACTTCTCTTTGTAGTATTATCATATTCCAAAATGACTAAATATTGTGTTTAAGGTCTTCCTCCTCGCCATCTTACATAGAATTGCATGAGTAGACCCAGACTCTTGGTCGTCGACTTTATACTGAAAACCTTCTCTGCAAGTCTTCCTTGTTAGGCTGTGTATTTCATTGAACCATTTGATGAATGTATCCATGTTCCACACTTCATTTGATTACTGTAGCCATTCACCAGTTACCACTGTGTGACTTTTTTGGCAATGTTTTAGTGGAATCTAGTATTTCTTTGAACAGCATAATCATTCATGGACACAATGAAGAATTCAATTTGCTGAGTGCAGTTTCTTTGAGGTCAATGGCGGCATTTCTTCCTAGTGCATTGCATCAGCTATAAGCGTAAGAAAGATATGCTTCATCAAATATATGTGGATTTATCTAGTTTTTCATGATAGGAAAGTTCTCTGAGTTTTGTACTTTCTGCATGGTATTTGTAGTTAGGTTGTTTGTGCTTTTAAGCTCTCGCATCCTTTTATTTTTTATTTTTTGACCTAATCTCTATTTTCAACTTCATCACTATTCTGATTTATCTGGATTTAAACACCAAGAAGAATACTGTTACCATTTTGGCCTTCCGTCTAATATAATCTTTGGAAAGTATATAGTATTATATTCTTGGCTGCTTTTATTCTACCGAACTGATGTTCAAAGCTAAATTTGATCACTTTGTAAACTTGTTATTATGAAAATGACATTTTAATAGAAGAATTGGTTGTGGAAGATGATAGAGCTTTCCGACATGAAAATCAGACCCATTTAGCATCAGATACAAACAAAGAAACTCTTTTATGCATTTATGTGGTCTTTGAATTCTCTATGCTATGAAATACCCCAAATTGTTATAAGATGTTGAAAACATGAGGCATTTCATCCATCCACTCTCATATCTTCTTAACAATTCTCTTTACCTTTGTTGTGATATCCCGTAAAGTGATATTATTAGGGAAAGAGTGGTTATCTTGTTATATGTTATTCTGTCTTGGAATCTGCCTTGGACGTTAAGAGATACATGTCTCTTTCTTGCATACGGTGAGCTTATACGAAACACTTCCATTCAAATTTTCTTTAGTCATCTGTATTTCAGGTCTTCGAGGAGTAAAGGGAATTCTTATGAGGCTGAAACTATGATCGTTTATGTACAGTTTCAGTGTCACGTCCGTGTACTTGACTACTTAACTTTCTGTTATGTATCACTGTGGCACTTGGAGAAATAATCTACCTAGCGATGTATGTAATGAAATTATATTTGTTCATACTAATTATAAAGTATAACCATCGCGATACAGAGTGTTGGACTTTGCACCACGTGTGAACCAGTTAGTGCGTTCATAGTGGGCTGATTGAATCTGGTGACCATATATGAAGTCTTATAGAATGAAATTTGAGTAGTCTCTCACAACTTTTATCCCAATTAGAATGTTGTCCAAAAACCCCAATAGTCCAGAATTTTACACTACAATTTCATAATCTTGGGTTCAGTTTATCTCTTTATTCTTTAATATAGGGTCTTGAGCTATGAATATTCTTGTGAAGGAGATGTGAATATTGTGGGCACTATGACGAGGAATTGGACTTGAAGATTAGTGGATCCGTACACGCTTTCATCACAGAGCTACTGATTTAAGAAATTAGGTTAGGGATGTCAATTCGGTTCGAACGACCCGTAAAAAGCTCAAGCCACGGAGCATAGCTTAGGCCAAGCCTCATTTTTGGGTGATAGCCTGAGCTTGAGCCGACCCGTGTGGCTCCATTTTTGGCCTGTGTCATAGGCCCCCTGCTTGCTTCAGGTGGTCGCTTGCCTGCATCACCAAAAGGAAAAAAAATCGAGCTAGCTCGGCTCGGCAAGGCTCGAGTTTCAAGTTCAAGGCAAGTTTCGATTTTTCGATAGAGATTTGGCTTTGATCGACTCCGCTCGAGCAAAAAAGCCTGATCGTATTTTGATTGGGCCGCACCCGAGCCGTAATCTTCCACTTGCTAACGGTTTGATCTGTCTCGTTTACATCCCTATTTGTACAAGAGAGATGGAAAGAATTCAAGATGATTGATAGAATGTATATTTCATTAAGAATGACCAAGGTAACAATGTCGGGAGAAGCTTTGCCAAAGAGGAGGTAGAATTTTGAGTGTTACTACTACCTATTGCTTGGTTGAGGTTGAAGCCAAATGGCATATAATTTGAGTTCTACTAGAAGATAGTATTTGTATTATCTTAGGTGGTTGTCTATGCATTGAAATAGATACTATGCTCAATTGGTAGTATAAGTTATTTTCTTGGTCCAAGTGCCCTCATGGTTTGGTGATTGAGGAGGTCTTCCATGTTTGAATAATACTATTTAGTACCAGTAGTACTAGAGCATCAGTTTAGATGGTTATATTTTATATATTCAATTAAATGAGTCATGTGACTTAGAATTTAGATGAATCTATTATTTAATACCATGTGATTATCATTTAGATTAGTGCTTAAAATCAGTGATGATGAATAACGTTACTCTTCATGTTTATGTGACATTACTTCAATGATAACTTACTCCATTTTCTTTATGCGATTTTGTATGTTCACACAATGGAGTTTGGTATTCACACTTTTAAAATAATGTGAGTGGCATAAGTATCGTTAAGGACATTCTAGGAACTAACACGACAAGTTTGTTGGAGCTACGTTGTATATTTTAGTTTCAAGGGATTGTTGCAGAATTTACAGGCGTGTGTATTCACCAAAGAAGTGATGAACAAGATTTTGACTCTGGTTTTCTTTAATATTGTTCACCTCTCTGTTGAAAGTAAAAAAGTCGAGTTATATTTATGGTTCAAATTATTCTAATTCATTAGATACATGTAAATATTCTTTCGATTAATTTTATATGATTACTGCAATGATCGCTTGATTGCATAATGATTATAGATTCCTCTTCTAATAACTATATGGAATCCTATTCCAATACGCATATTCTTGAGATAGAAATAGTATAATTCATGAGTTTACAAGTTATTAGTCCCACATTTTGCGCACATTCTCGTCTTTATACATAAAACCAGCCCTTTTTCATCCAAGTTAGTAATTTATCATTTTTAACCCTTTTTCCAGCAGCACTTGACAGACACTTTCCTATGTAATGGGTCCATGGACACCTAATCTTAACTAGGGTTCAGTCTATATCATTTGGTAACAATTTCTAAATGGAATTTTCCTCGTGTATAGAAGTTGGGTTTACAGAATTTGGTCAGATAACTCGCAAAGGTGGATTCCACTTAATAAAAAATGGTCAAAAATTAATCCATTCACCCCTGTTTGTGACTAGTAAAGTTCCTGTGAATGCACCCCTGCCAATCATCACTCTTTCTAACTAGGTCCATTTCTTGTAATTTGTTCACACTTCGGCTGACCATAGCACGGTAGCACTCAATTCTCTATAATTTTACACTCAAACATTCACAATTATAATAAAATTCAAAGTAAAACTAAAAAATCTATAATCCTAAAAATATATTTGTTTGTAAAATAAAATTCTGAAATAATAAAAATTTAAAAAAAATATTGATAAATTTCTAAAAAGGTAAATGTTGGAACAATGAATGTTACAAGTGGAGATGATGTTGTCAATTGAGGGGATGGTGTAAATAAGTGACAAATTGTGTAATACAATGTGTTACAAGTTATGAAGGTCCTTGCCGCGATTGAAAAACGTAGTGAAATGTGTTAGAAGTGTGACTCAAATAGGAGTTTAAATTGCATTAGATTTTCTACCTTTTTGGGACTCTTTTAGGGCTAGACTCGTGGACTATAAATTAATGTCTCCTCTGTCAGTTTTATTGAAGCATCATTGCTGTCCAGTTGTAATTCTCTCCATATTAATAAAATTCGTCGTTCCTCTGCTTAATTCATCTTTTACTTTAATCTTGTTCTTGGGTTATTTGTGATCTTGCTCAATACTTCAATTATAACAAGTGGAATTCATTAAATTTCAATTCCTACATTATTGGTCATCGGGCCCAATAAGTGGTATCAGAGCGGGGTTGTTGGTGGATTTCTGGCCTGAAACTGATCGAAAATTGATTTGAAAATTACTAGAAAATCAGAAAATGAATCTGTCCAATTTTTCGATTTTTTGCCGGATCTTTTTTGATTTTTCTGGTCAAACCAAAAATAATTTGGAGAAACGAACACTACCAGTGGACTCAGCAGCCAGAAACAGTCCAGAAAGGGTCACAGGTCATCGGCGCGTTTTTCGACCAATCGCCGACGATGGTAACTCAGGCGAGCGAGTAGCGGCATTTTCCGACGATGGTGTCTTCAGGCAGTTTTCTCCGGACGACGAGACGGACCTTGTGGTGGTGTCCAATTTCAATTTTGGGCAAAAATTGTGGTTCTGGACTATTTTGCCCCTTGCACGTTCGGTAGTATTCAGTTTTGGGTGTTGCAGGTTGCAAGTTCTTCTTGATTTGATCGAGATTTTTCAGAGATGAATTCGTTGAAGTATGAAATTCATCTGTTGGATCGCAATACAAGATTTTCGTTGTGGCAAGTAAATGTGAGAGCTGTGTTGACGCAGATGGATCTTGATGATGCTTTGCTGGGTTTTGATAGGATGCCAGCAAACTTGTCTATGGAGGAGAAACAATGGAAGGATCGGAAGGTTTTAGCGCAAATCCAACTTCATTTATCCAACAATTTGCTGCAAGATGTTTTGAAGGAGAAGACAGCGACTGCTTTGTGGCTCAAACTGGAGCAGTTGTGCATGACAAAGAGTTTGACGAGCAAACTGATTCTAAAGCAGAGGTTGTATTCTCATCGCATGGGCAGGACCACCTTGCTGTGTTCAAGGAGATTGTTGCAGATTTGAAGATGTTGGGGGTAAAATATGATGAAGAGGATCTAGCCTTAGTCCTGTTGTGTTCGCTACTCAATTCTTTTTCGTTATTTCGTGATACTATTCTATATAGTCGT